TCCATTTATAAAAGCGTTGTATATTAAAAAGTTTTTTTTATATTATTTATTTTCTACTTTTTAGTCCTGTCTGAATAAAATTTTGCAATAGATATTAAAATAATTCAACGATATTAATAGAAAGGTGCACACACATGCATTTACATATGTATGTACATACAAACGAGCACCAATTAATTTTATTTAAAGAAATGGCGTGTCGTCTATTTCCGCTGTAGCAAACGTAGTACATAGGGCGACATCTAGATGTCATCTACCTCGCCCTATTCACTACAGATGTCGCCCTATGCACTATGCGGAACTTTTCAAAGCAAAGCTTTTATGGTGTCGGACACACAACATTGAAAGTTTCTGGATCCACAACATTGAAAGTTTCTGGACACACAACATTGCAAGTTGATAAAAGCGTTGTAATAATAAAATACCTGCTGTCAGCGAAACATGTCTTCCAATACGAGGAGACTTTTTGTGTGTTGCCAGGAATTAATTTGCCTTGTTTTCGTTCATTGCTACACCAACTTCTTTTGCCTTTCTTTCGTTTGGAAAAAGTTTCGCTTGCGAGCCGGGTTTAAATGCCGACGATGTTATCAATGTTATCCGCATATTACTTTCGGTTGCTTTATATGGCAACCCTACGATTTAAATTGGTTTCAGATATTACGCTTTCGAACATCCGATAGAAAAAAGTGGCTGGAAAGTCAGTCGCCTTGTATACTCCGCTCGGATTCCGATGGAATTAAAAGTTGTGTTCAACGGCACTATACCGTAAGCCGAGGATCCCAAATTTAGAAAAGACGCCACAGAAGCAACTGCTCCACGTACTATTGAAAGCTTGTGTAGTATATTTTCCAGAATTTGACGTGTTGTTAGTATCTGGTCGATGAAGGATTTTCTAGGTGATGACGGTGCTCTTTAGCCTTTCACCCAATACGTTTTAGAGAACCTTTAATGCTAGTAAGTTGAGAAAACTAATTATACGACACTTTGCACAGTTCGTGGCAGAGCACGAACTCCTCTGACCATATTTTGCATAGAAGCCGGTGTCAATATTTCAATCGGTAGTGCGGTCCTGCGGTTTTATAATTTTTTAGCATAATTATCGGCGTTTTTTTCCTCATCATGAACAGGTTCTGGAACACCTCTTTCATCGTCCTAAACTTAAGGTAAATATTTAAATAGCTTACTATAAAAAGAGCTCCGACTCGACGAGGTCTTTTCCATTTTTTTATTTTTTTTTCGTGATAAAAAGAAAATCCTTCAAATTGATATGTACTAATTTTATTTAACTATAATAACCACTTTTACAAAAAAGCAGCTGGAAGATGAGCAGCGGCATAATGGGAGAATACTGGAGCGGCGAATGGAGCAGCAGCATAGTGAGCAGCCAGCAAAGGTGCAGCGGCTGCATAACGAGCAACAACTGGGGCAGCAGCGATGCCATTGTAGTTGCGTGCGATCACTTGACTGCTGGTGGCGGTCACCACGGGAGCCGGAGCAGCAACAACAGCGGCGGGAGCAGCATAAGCCAATGGGGCAGCAGCCAGAATACCGGGTTTAGCAGCAGCGCAGGCAATGAGAGCGGCGAAGAGTACAGCGATCTGTTGAATGAAAGAAATTTTTTTAAAATTTGTGGTTTTAGGATTTTTAAGCAAAATGCTGGCAACTTACGAATTTGAACATTTTTAATGGATTTTGTGGTTTTTGGTTATTTGATTCTTGAACAAAAGTCGCTAAGTGAATGATGCGGGTTGTTAAATGCAGTTAAGCTTTTATAATGAATTTGATTGTAGTAAACCTTACATTTTAGCAAAATAAATTAATGCATCAAAAGCCTCAAACAAGTAGCCACTTCTACATTACTATTCCGGGCATTTTACAATTTTAGTATTTTTTTATATGCTCATGAGTGCAATTTAAATACCTCACCAATACAGATTTTTAATTGTGCGTCTGTTTCAATTACCAAATAAAAATAGTTTGCATTCATTCAAGAAGTTCACTGCGCATATGAAGCTAAGGTCATGGTTTGCATTTGTAATTCAGAGTATTTGAAATCCAAGCAGTAGACAAAAACTATTTTAATGTATGTTTATATGTATGCGGTCAACTTGCATATAAAAATAAAACATTGTTATTCAACTAAATATTAGTGATATCTACATTCGATACTCAAGTTCTTTTGAACTTGAATACTACCACATCGATAGGCACCTTCCATTTTTAACCCTTAATTACGAGTATATATATTGCACCGATTTTGGTAATGGATATCAAATCATCTTTAGCTTTCGCTTAAGCAATAGTCACAGAAAAGAAACACCTAACACTTCAACATGTTCAAATACGTGAGCAACTTAAGAATTGTTTTTTTAAGAAACTTTGTTAAAATTTAATTTTTTGTTAAAAAATAGTCACTAAAATTTCTTTCCCTCTCCTTCCCACCAGGCCGTTGCTCTCTTCGCTCTCATCGCTTGCGCTGCTGCTAAACCCGGCATCCTGGCTGCTGCTCCTTTGACTTATGCCGCACCTGCCGCTTTTGTTGCCGCTCCAGCTCCTGTGGTGACTGCTACCAGCAGCCAATTTGTTGCACGTAACCACAATGGTATTGCTGCCGCTCCCGTCATAGCGCAATATGCTGCTGCTCCAGTTGTTGCTCGTTATGCGGCTGCCGCTCCTCTGGCCAGCCCATTTGCTGCGCATTACGCCGCTGCTCCTCTTCTTTGGTAAAGAAATTGGATATGTATGAGAATCTCTTTGTGATATGTTCCGAAATAAAAAGTAGATAATTTTATGATTAACTTAACAAGGGTTTTATTACTTAAGATTGTGATAGGTTGTCACCTTAAAGACTCCCAATATTCCTACCTTAGTTATATCACCGACAGATGACGACTGTAATCCGTATTAACAGAGCAGTAGATGCAATCAATACAGTTATTGTATGACGCATTCTTAGTCAACCAAGCATTACGCAACTGCTGTACGAGTTTTTACTCTGAAATTAAAAAAAAAAAAAAGTAAAATGAAACTTCAAAAATTTAACTTTAAAATTGTTTTAATTTGGTTCTCAAAGAGTCGAAAAACCTCTATCAGGGCCCAAATTAAATATCTTGAATAGCGCTACAACGTACAGGTTCGAAAAAAATCAATAACTACATAATGCGTTTTATAACTTGAGTGTTGTTTTTGGCGTTTTAAACAGTGAGATCGTGCTTCTCGTCTCAAACTCTGTAAATTTATATAAAAAATATACAAAAAATTTTCAAAACAAATCCGGTGGTTTTTGCATGTTCATTTCGAAAAACATTATTTTTCGACCAATTTTTTTCAAGTCAAGAGTAATTGTGGGTTAGTGGCAATATTTTCGATTAAAAGGAATAACATTAGTCACATTTTCGTTTTTGTTGAATTATATAAACTTTCAGAGCTATTTTGTTTGATATCAAAGTTTTGCTTCTACCGAAAGCGCTAAATTTAATTCCCAAAGTATAACATGAATGGCCAAAAATGTCAGAGAAGTTTGCCGGTAAGAAAAGCAGGTAATCAAACACAATTTTTTTAAGACATGCTTTTTATATGGGTTAATAAAAAAATAAAAAAATCTATCCCCACACGACATAACGACTAAATTTTTTGCGGTATTATTTCTTTCCATTGAAGTAATATAAGTACTTTCTAAATATGAAACCAATCGGATCAAGCCGATTAATTCAACTTTCATACTGCATTCTCATCGAGTTCTGAGCCAAGTTTGAAGTTTCAATCCCCTATCTCACCGGGAAGTTGGCTAAAAAATGATTTTAAGATTTGATTACATACAGGTGAAACCTAATAAAAGCTTGTAGATAAAAATTAATTTGGTCTGGAGCTCAAAATAAAAATTAAAATTTTAAGAAACTGGCCAAAAAAATTAAAAATTCAGAATGGCGGATTGAACATGGCTGATTAATTAAAAAATAATTATCCAATTTTTACAAAAATCAGTATTAGAAACTTTTTTTATGGGGCCGATTACGCTCTGTTGTCAATATTTTAAAAGCAAAAAATTTTATTTTTTTTTATGTTCGATTTTTAAATGAAACAGAAATATGTAACGCGTTTTGAGGGTCTGTTATAATACGAAAGCGGATTAAATTTGGATAATTAAAGTTCGTTGTTTAATTTATTTACTGCTTTCCCAATAAAATTCTTTTTGCTCCGGCTGAGTTTGAAAGTATCTTATTGATGACAGCTGTATAGTGTTTCAAAGGACAAAATAGAATCAGCTGACTTTGCTTTGAGACTTGTTTAATATGTTCTCCTATTAAATATGGCAGCGATTCCGTCATAGCCACTGCTTCTATGTGCAGTTGCACTGTAGTTCCATTCGGCATCAAAAAAAATCGTCCGTTGCTAGCCTTCATGAAACCGTAGGATCTACCATTTGTCTGATAACATCCAAAGGCACAACACAAATTGGAGGGCGCAGCTGGCCCAAAAACTAGAAAAAATGTGAGCGCCATATTTTTAATTTATTTTTACAAGTTGAAGGCTCAGTAACCACTACTTATGAGGAAATATGCACGCATATACTTATGTCCAGTTTATATTTATAATTTGGTAACTTTTATTTGCAAAAAAGTTCACTCAACTTTTCAAAATTATTAACACTCGAGCAAATACGACCTTGACACGAATCGTAAGCAAACGCAATTTGCAAAAGAAGGCAAATGCAATTGAATATGGAGAGGCAAAAGAAAAAAAGTCATAAAACATGCATACATACATATGTGCACATGTGTGTGTATGATCAAGAAAAAAAAAACATCAAAAACATAAAAACTTTTGCACTTAAGTAGATATGTGTGTATGCACTTACCAGCGGTTTCATTGCACTCACCCACCACAAAAAAGTCTTCACCAAACCAATGGTCGATGGTCAGCGTACCCAAAGACCACATTGACGTATGTACGTGCCAAGACTTTATGATGAATAAATCGGTTACCATTTGATAGTCGGCAAAAGAACGTGTTGACTACGCACATTTTTTTTCAATATTCTTACAAACTTGATAAAGATTCTCTTCTGCAAGTTCGAACAGAAGATTTGTATGAAAGTGGTGAATCTGCTTTGGAAGTTTGTAAACTATTCGCATTTGGAAACATTATTTCTCGATAACTCAGTTTAGGTTTAATAGTAATTCTTATTTTTGATAGCTACCAGTTCATGTTGAGAAATTGAAACACCGAAGGGCATTTTTGCAAAAAAAAAAAAAATAAATACTTATATGTACACAGTATACCCAAATGCCAGCTGGTTTTAATGATAAACTTGATATTTATGTTCATTAGTAGTAAACGTTATTAAAAAATTCACCAGGATGGGGTGCAGGAAATATTTAGTCTTGTCATCCGTCTACTTCCCAGGTTGATGTCTCCCTCATACCTCTTTTACATTAGCTCATTGAATTTTGTCGATGTAAGAACCATCAGGCTACCATTGTCTGCGATAAAAATGCCCTCTTTATCTTGTGAGGCAGCTCCAACATCAATGATAGGAGTAAGTAATAAATAATAAAGAATGTTTGAGCGAATATGGAGGGCGGAGCCCCTTTTCATTACTGCCGTCGGCGCTACTAGATCTCACTCTCTCAGCTGGTCGGAAATGGCAAGTCTAGGATGAAGCATTGCTTACGGATCATCGACACTTACGCTTTTTAGATATGATCTCAGCAACACGCCTTTACCGCCTGGGCTAACAAACTGGACCATTATAAAAAGTCTGGTGAACGCAAAAGCAGACCCGTTGTTAACCTCCAATAACTCAATCGATGCAATGGTGATAATCTGCTGGTGGTCTTTCGTGACACAGGTCCAAAAGGACTCAGTAGCGAAACGTACTTATGTGTGACTACAATAAAACAGGGAACACACGATTTGTACATTTTGGCAGTCATAGAGTGGTGTTGTCTAGAAATTCTTATCGATAATGACTTCAGCTCAATTAATGTAATTTAATTGCTCTTTTCACCACGCGTTGTTTTGTGTTACTTCCGGCAAAACAGAGGCGAGATGGCACATTTAGAGACAATCACAGGAAGACTCTGAAAAACACATTTCCTAGGCACTTCAGTCAAATAAAATCAGATCAGTTCTGTCTGCTCGGAAGAAGGATTCGCAGAGTAAGCAATCATAGCAGATCTGGCTCAATTTTTGGCCCAACAAAGTACGGTGGGCACTAAAGTCTGTGCGCGTGGTGATGGAGTAGTTACAGCTAGTTACAGTTAGGTTAGGTTAGGTTACGGTGGTTGTCACTCCGCACGGACCGACAGAGAGACACACTTAGACCAATTTGACCCATAGCTAATGGGGACTTTTGCAGAAAGCTCATTTAAGTTACTTCTGCATTCGGCAGCGACTTTTGTGGAAGTGTTACTGCACTGTAAAGATTTAATCGCAGGCAAATTGTACCATCATTAGTTAATCCAGGGAGGCTGTTAGTTCGGCTTGAAAAACGCTGCAGGGGTCAGGGAGCCGGCTGCTTAGGTTTAGCGAGAATTCATTAGAGTAGATTTCGTTTCTAGCCTTATTGTCGAGCTTTTACCGGTCCGTCTACCGCTTTTTCCATCCTGGATCTAAGTCCGAGCGGTTGCCTCTGTCTGGAATTCTAGTAGAAAATTAATTTTCGAAGCAGAAACGTGGACTTGTGTAATCCAGCTTATTTAGGATTGCTAAAATGGTCTCTCCATGTATGAGCTTCATTCAGTCTAGCTACGTTGCCGCTGGCCTGGTATCTACCGTAAAGATCGATAGGGAGAAGATTCAATAAAGTCTGCAGTCACAGGTCGCTGCCTTTTTGAGGTCAGTTCCCTCGAGGTATTGGTGGTGATGGTTTGAATCCCGCCGGTACTACCTACTTAGCGCTTCTTTCTAGTGGCGAGGATCCCTTTTGCCCATTCTAATTTGGTTCTCTGATCTCGGAGGCGCCGTTATAATACAGTCGGAAAGCCCCCTGACTGCAAACCATCTAATGGTCACGGTGACGCATGACACCCCGTATTGGGGGATAGGACTGGAGTCGACACCCTCCGGGTCTAGATCCGTAGTATTTTGTGGAAACAGGGTCAATTCTGGAAGGATGCGATATCGCGCACTACGGCCTTGATATGGCAGTGGCTGAGCACACGGGATCATCTATGTGCTGTGTTACGCTTCATCCACACCCTGCATTTTGCTTGACCCCAATATTTACAGCATTAAATACTATAAATAATTAGGATATCATCGATACTCTTATCGGCATATTTAAGGCTCGTTACTACTTCAAATACATCGAGTATTAAATACGGAGAGTTTATAAAAACCCCCAAAACCGTATCCGCAGAAGACTGATAGATATGCGCAGCACATTTTTAGAATCATCTTCTTGAAAGACTGACACAACTTTCCTGACTACCAATAACTAACCTAACTAAAAGTTATAAATAGATAAATAGATCAAAAATTCTTTCTTTATTTCGGTAAGCATCAAAAAAGCCTCATGCGATTCCATTTCTTTTACCAAAGGAGTGGAGCAGCGGCATAATGAGCAGCCAATGGAGCGGCTAAAGGCGCAGCCGCTGCATACCGGGCAACAACTGGAGCAGCGGCATATTGAGCTATGACGGGCGCAGCAGCGATGCCATTGTAGTTGCGAGCAATGACTTGGCTGCTGGTAGCAGTCACCACAGGAGCTGGCGCGGCAACAA